GGCCCAGGATTGGGCAGTGTTTTGTTCTGTTGTGCATAGGGTCGCTATGAGTTGGTACCGACACAATGGCACCTAACAACAACCTTTAATTCACAACTCAGTGCTTAATTGCTTGGACCACCCTGGAACTCCTCTGCTTGGCCCACTTTCCAATAAAACACAGTGTGGATGAATTACTGCTTCTAATAAATCTGCCTAAGATACTGTCATAACCTACTTCTTGAAGGAAAAATAGATATTTCAGAGTAATCTATACTGCTGCTTCTATTTCTAGCTTTACCTTCAACTTAAGGTATTTGCCACAGATTTAGAATTTCAAATTTTAAGAGTATAAGTAATTACCGTATGATTTCTTTTCTCCAAATTAACTAGTATGTGGCATTAAGAGTGTCCCGAAAGTTTCGTCATGAGGGCAGGGGAGGGTTGAGGAAAGGGTATGATAAAAAGAGATTCTTTCTTGAGCCCTGGTGTGAGCGCCTTGGGTTAATACGCTGGACTGCATAGTTGATTTGAGCTGCAAGGTCGGTGGTTCAAGCTCACCAGCCACTCCTTGGAATCCCTGTACAGGGTTGCTATGGGTCGGAACCAAGTCGACGGCACTTAACCACCACCACAACAACCTGCTGCTTTTGTGCTTTGGCAATGATGACTTGTCCTATTGAGTCATGAAGGATTTCTGAGCCTCAGGATAGCTCAGCAGTAGGTGTCTCAGTGGCTGTCCAGTGGATTCGGAGTCGCGGCCACCCTACATGTGTCAGAGAACCGGGCTTTACTGGGCTTTCAGTCGTTTGTTTTTCAGGAGTTGAGTTTTCTTTGTGAGGTGCCTCTGGGTGTACAGGACTCTCCAGCTAAGCACAGTAGTCATTTATACCATCCAGGAATTCCTAAGATACTCCTACAATCGGAGGTTTTTAGAAGCAGAGTGTTCAGTAGGACAACCTTAGACATTTGTGCAATAAGGTATACAGAAGCGCTCAGTGTAGTGTGTGCTGAACATGCCAGGTGTTCTTTGAGGCCTGGGAATTGGGCTTCATGCAGCTTCGTGTCCTGTAGTTTTGTTTGTTCTACGATTGCACTGCACTCTGTCTGCAGTCTGTGGGAGTGTGTGTCACAGTCTGCTCAGCAACACAGTGACCTGTACCAGGCTGTAACCTCCTCTTTGTTTTACTATTTCTTGATATTCTCCACTTCCTAGCATAAGCAAAATGGACAATCTGTACCTTTTATCAAATGAAAGGAATTGGAATTTTTACTGAGGTCAGGTTGTTCTGGATAAAATTTATGAAAGAAATATAAGACATCTTTTAATTCAAGAAAATTATAATAGAAAATTAAAAGAGAATCAGTAGAAGGAACAGAAATGATTAACTGTGTTGAATATGGTTGTTATATAATGGAGGTCAGATGTGTTATTCCATAAAGGAGATCAGAAATCAGGTCTAAGAATGTGCTCTCACACGTCTCTTTTATTTGGTATTTGAACATCTTGTTCCAGTGACAGAGATAGATAGGATGGCGAGAGAATTGGTATTGGTCTCGCCTTCTGCTTTTTACGGCTCCATGCAGAATGACAGAGAGGTATCGGCCATCTTTTTCTCATAATCTTCATTGAATTTCTTGTTCTGAGCCACAGTGAACTGATTTTTCCAATCTCCTATGATTCCTATAAAAAGTAATGTACAGATATTCAATGACATTTTCATGAAATGTGACCACTTTGGGTTTAGTCATTTTCATCTCAGTGTGTAAAGAGAGGAAATGCTTATCTAGATATTAGCTGATTGTCCTCCTGACCGTGCAGTGAGAATGCAGACACCATCACTCTGTTCCATAGATAAGGTATTTGTAAAGTGAAAGCTTTGTTCTGAAATATTTGGCAAGCCACTGTAATCTACACCATAGATTCCCTAAATCTCTGTCCTACACCAATAGGCATTCTGATCTACCTGTACTTTTATGAACTTTGTTTAAGTTAAAGGATCTTAAGTCGTATTTTCTGACCCTTTCATCAGAGGCCAGCTGGGGGTCCAATGTGAGTTGAGTAACTGCGCCTTCTGCCAGTCCAGGCAGAGGTCCTAGTGCTGACTCAGGTGTTCAGCTGGACACAATGGTGAATTCTGCTTTCTGTCTAAATCCTCAGTGCTATCAATAGATGATTCAGTTAGCATAATGGGCTATGAAAGAATGGTACAGTTGGTTAAATTTGCGTCATGCTTATGCAATGCTCTTGTTGCTAAGGGTGATGAGTTTCAACACATAGTGACCCTGTATAGGGGTTTCAATGTTGTAAATCTTTTTATTTTTATTTTGGTATTTTTTTTTTTTAAGTTTTTATTGTGAATTGAGTGAAAGTTTACAGGGCAGATCATCAGTTTTACATTTAACAGATCATATACCTTGTTTCATTACAATGATTATAATCCCCTCCATGTACCATCAGATAACAGTGTTTCTCTCTATTCACTTTGCTCCTTTTTTTAAAAAATTACTCAGGCATATGTAATAATTTATACCAACAAAGGGCACATTCTGCAGGTCTGCCTCCTGGCCACCAGCTCTTAGTCCCTTTCTTCCCATGAATCTAGAGTCCTCAGCTGCTTCATCTTTCCATGTCCCCATCTCTGCCTCCATCACTGGTGACGCTGCTTCTCTGGATGAAGTCCCGCATTCCGCTTATGCTCTTCTCCCTTGATGGTCCTTGGGTCCTTTGTTTCTGGACCGTAAGATTAACTACTCTTCCATTTTTGTTACAAAACTTCTACCTTTACAGTTGTGACAGTCATAATTAGTCATGATGGCAATTACTATTGAATCGTAAGAATCTTATCCTCATCTCTTCTCACCAGACCCATCTAGACAGTATGAAAACTATTCAGTGGGGATTCTTTCTTCCTCCACACACTCTTAAACTAAACTCCCTCTTGAAACCTTGTAAGCCAGTCACTTTTTGCCTTTATCGCCCTCTCATTTTAGGTAGCCAATGTCTAAGTTGACCGTCCCTATCTACCCTGTGTACAGAGGGGATAGCATTGATACTTGATGTGAAGACTCCTTCCTTCTCTGTTGGTATTTAGATTTACTTCGTCTATGAGTATAGGTCAAGTTCATCAAATTGTAGCAGTTTACCCTTGTTTCCTTTATCAAAGATGGTTTTGTTCTCTCTCTCCTTCTTTTTTTTTAATCTTCCTCTAGTCGAGTTCTGATAATCAAGCCATCCAGAATAGGTCAAATGGGTACTGTCTGCAAGTTTGGGTGTTCTTGTGCGTCTTGCCTCACTTCATATCAGCTGGATGCTTCACTCTCAGCTCTACCCCTCTGTGGCTATGTCCCTGTCCATGGGCTCAAGTGTCCCCAGGTCTCACCACACTTTGGACCAACCAGCCCTTTCTCTTCTCTCTCTCATCTCCAGGTCAAGGGTAGTCAATGGACTGTGGTTGAACTCAGCCCATTTCTTCACTGCTGCCTTTCCCCCTCTTCCACTCACCAGTAGACCACTGTGGTCACCAGCAAGCTTACATGCCTGCTCATGTGTTCCCTTTGAGTTTCAGTCTTAGAGAGGAGAAGGCTGTAAATCTTCATGGAAGCAGAGAGCCTCATCTTTATCCCATTGAGTGACTCGTGGGCTCAAACCACCAAACGTATGGGCAGCAGTCAAGTGCTTATTCAATAGGCTTTTTCTCCCAGTGCTCAGAGACCCTGTGTTGTTGTTTGTTGCTAAGGTGCCATTGAGTTGATTCTAACTTCCAGTGACCTTATGCACAAAGAACGAAACAACTGTTCCGCTCTGCGCCATCCTCATTACGGTTGCTGTGCTTCAGTCTGTGGCTGCTGCCCTTGTGTCAGTCCATCTTATTGGGGGTCTTCCTCTTTTTGATGACCCTCCACTTTACCCAGCATGATGTCCTTCTCCAGGGACTGGTCCTTTCTGACAACATGTCTGAAATATGAGAGATGAAGTCTTGTCATCGTGGCTTTTCAGGAACACTCTGGCTCACTTCTTCCAGCACCGTTTCGTTGGTTCTTCTCGAAGTCCATGGTACTTTCAGTATTCTCCTCCAACACCATAATGCAAATGGATCAATTCTTCTGTGTGTGATATACCTTATTCATTGCCCAACCTTCACATGCATATGAGCCTATTGAAAATACCATGGCTTGGGTCAGGCATACCTTTGTCCTCAAAATGACGTCTTTGCTCTTAAACACTTTATAGAAGTCTTGTGTGCAAATTTGCTTAATGCAATATGCCATTTGATTTCTTGTCTGCTTCTTCCATGAGTGTTAATTATAGATCTGAGCAAATTGAAGTCCTTTACAATTCCAATCTTTTCTCCATTTATCATGATATTGTTGATTGGTCCAGTGGTGAGGATTTTTGTGTTCATGACATTGAGGTGCAATCCATACTGAAGGCTGTGATCTTAGATCTTCATCAGTAAGCATTTTAAATCCTCTTCACTTTAAGCAAGCAAGATTGTATCATCTGCATATCACAGGTTAATGAATTTTCCTCCAATCATCATGCCTGACTCTTTTTCATATAATCTAACTTCTCATATTATGTGCTCAGCAAACAGTTTGAGTAAGTATGGTGAAAGACTATATCCCTGGTGCATACATAACCTGATTTTAAGCCATTCAGTATCCTCTTACTCTGTTTGAATTACTGTGTTGTGGTCTATGTACAGTTTTCTCATGAGGATAATCAAATGTTCTGGAGTGCCCATTCACAATGTTATCCATAGCTTGTAATGATCTACACAGTCAATAAAGCACTGGTGTTCTCTGCTTTCAGCCAAGATCTCCGCAGTTCCACATCCTTTCTGAATCCGGCTTGAGTTTCTGCTACTTCTCTGCCAATGTATTATCATAGACATTTAAAAAATATATCTTTACCAACATTTTACTTGCATGTGATTTTAATGATATTGTCGGATGATTTCTGCATTTGATTGGGCACAAATATGGATGGTTTCCAGTCAGTTGGCCAGGTAACTGTCTCCCAAATTGTTTGGCATAGATAAATGAGCTCCTCAGTGCTGTGTCAGTTTGTTGAAAGATTTCAATCTGCATTTTGTCAGTTCCTTGTTGTTGTTGTTGTTAGGTGCCATCGAGTCGATGACGACTCATCATGACATTATGCACAGCAGAAGGAAACACTGCCCGATCCTGAGCCAACCTCACAATTGTTGCCATGCTTGACCCCATCGATGCTGCCACTTGGCCAGTCCATCTCACTGGGGGTCTTCCTCTTTTTCCCTGACCCTCCATCTTACCAAACATGATATCCTTCTCCAGTGACTAGTCCCTCCTGATAACTTGTCTGAGCTATGAGAGATGAAGTTTGGCCATCCTGGCCTCCAAGGAGCACTCTGGCTGCACTTCTTCCAACACAGATCTGTTGGTTCTATGGGCAGCTCATGGCACTTTCAATATTCTCCTCCGACACCATAACTCAAATGCATCAATTCTTCTACGATCTTCCTCAGTATGTGGGGCCTGGTTTTTTTTTGCCCGTATCTTATGTGCTGCTTGGACTTCTTCCTTCAGCCCCAGCAGTTCTTGATCATATGCTACCTGTTGAAAGGGTTGAACAGTGACCATTTGTTTTTGGTACAGTTACTCTTTGAATAATTTCCATCTTCTTTTTATTCTTTCTGCACCATTCAATATTTTGCCCATGGAGTCCTTCAATATAGCAAATTGAGGCTTGAATTATTTCCTCAGTACTTTGAGCTTGAGAAATGCTGAATATGTTCTTCCCTTTTGGTTTTCTAACTCTACGTTTTTGTATATTTCATTATAATGTTTGGCTTTGTCTTCTCGAACTGCTCTTTGAAATTTTCTGTTCAGTTTTTTGACTTCCTCATTTCTTCCATTTGCTTTAACATCTCTTTGCTGGAAAGCAAGTTTCAGAGTGTCTTTTGACATCTATTTTGGTCTTTTCCTTCTGTCTTGTATTTTTAACGATCTTTTGCTTTCATCTTGTATGATGTTCTTGGTGGCATCCCACAACTCTCTGGTCTTGGGTCTTTAGTGTCTAATACATCAGATCTGTTCTTCAGATGATCTCTAAATTCAGGTGGGATATATACAAGGTCATATTTTGGCTCTCATGGACTTGTTTTAATTTTCTTCAGGTTTAGCCAGAATTTGCATATGAGTAATTGATGGTCTACCCTGGACTTGCTTTGGCTGATGATATGGAGCTTTTCCACTGTCTTTTCCCACAGATGTAGTCAATTTGATTTCTGTGTTTTCCATCTGGTGATGTCCGTGTGGACAGTCATCTTTTATGTTGTTTAAAATAGTTTTTTTTTTCAGTGAAGAAGTCATTGGTCCTGCCAAGTTCTATCATGCTATCTCCAGCATCATTTCTAACACCAAGCCTGTATTTTCTACCTGCTGACCCTTCCTCTTTGTTTCCAGCCTTCTCATTCCAATTACCAGTAATTGTCAGTACATCTTGATTGCATGTTTCATCAATTTCAGACTGAAGAAGTAGGGAGAATTATTCATTTTCCTAATCACTTGCTTTCATTGTTAGTACATAAATTTGAATATTAATGGTATTAACTGGTTTTCCCTGTCGCTGTATGGGCATCCTATCACAGATAGCTTTGTGTTTTATGATAGACCTTGGAATGTTCATTTTGATGATGAATGAAATACCATTCATCTTGAATTGATCAATTCAGACATCATAAACCATGTGATTATCAAATTCAAAATGGCCAATGTCTTTCCATTTCAGCTCACTAATGTATAGCTCTTTTGGGTTCCATTTCATTTTTGGCAACTTCCTATTTTCCTAGATTCACACCATCCATGTTCTATTATTAATGAGTGTTTGCAGCTCTTTCTCCTTATTCTGAGCTGTGCCCCATCAGCAAATGAAGGTCCCGAAAGCTTGCTCCCCTCGTGTCATCATGGTCAACACTACTGTGATGGGGCAGCTCTTACCCTGTTGCATTTTGAGTGCTTTCCAACTTGAGAGGCTCATCTTCTGGCACAATATCTGATAATATTCTGGTCCTATTCACTAAAATTTCATTTTCAGGCTGTATATTTTCCAATGTTCTGCTGATATTCATAAAGTTTACAGTGGCTAAACATTCAGAAATGATCCGCCTCTCCTTCTCCCTAGTCTAAGTCTGACAGCGCCACTGACACTGTCCACCAGGGCTGAACCTGCTGCTCTGTAAACTACCGGTGACAGAGCAGCTGGCATCACAGCAACTGGCAAACCATCACAGTACCACAAACTGCAGAGGAATCCTGGCCGAGAGCCGATGGTGGTGGTGGTATGCTGTGGAGTTGCTTCCAACTCATAGTGACCCTGTATATGGTTTCCGAGACTATAAATGTTTATGGGCTCAGAAAGCCTCATCTTCCACAGAAACCCTGGTAGTTTTGAACTGCTGACCTTTAGATTAGCAGCCTGGCTCATCACCACTATCTACTAGACCCCCTTAGAGACCCTATAGCAAGCTAGTTTTCTCCTGATTGCTTATCTAATTTGATTTACTTAAGTTCTTTAGAGCTGTGTAATGTTATTTTCTTGTGTGAAATTTATATTTGCAGTATTAAGGGATAGCATAAGCATATCATTTATCAGATGATACCATTGTATTGAATGACATGTTATTAAAAGATTAGACTAAGTGATGGTAAACTAGACAATTTCTCCCTTGAGCTTTTTTTTTTTGGAAAACAAAAGGCACTAGGATCTTTTTCTTTCTATAATGTTTACAACTTCACAGTAAAGTGTTGCTTCCATGTGATCATACTGGACTAGAGCAGGGTTGATGCTGGCCTGGAGGCGCAGGGTCTTACTTCTGCCTGGTTCCACTGAGTTACTGTGCCAATTTGGTCATTACCTATGAGGGCGTGACACTGGATTAAGCCATCTGCAAGTGATCAAAGTGATCACTTCGAGCCCTTGAGACCCATGACCTCAAACTATTGTTCTCCGGGATGTGTTGGTGGGAAAACAAGCTTTGTGGAGATTAGCTGCTTTTATTTGAAAGAAGGTTTTGTGGTCAAATATAATTCTGAAGCTTTGGTTGGGTTAAATGAAGTTAAACCAGTTTCTTTCCAGACACATTAATATGCTTAGAAACTTCAAACAGAGTACTGGGAAAGGTATCTAGAATCTTCCAAACATATCTGACCATCAATCCAGTGTTTCATGCAGTATTTGTTGGGAAGACTTCAGGAAACACTATATAGAGGTTTTTCTGCCTTTGACAGAAAACAATTTACGTGTTGATATTGCTATTTCTAGTATCAGAGAAATGGTAAAAAGAATGTGCACATTACCTTTCCTCATGAATGGAGAAATGGCGTGATTCAGTTTCTTGTCATTTGTGTAGTTGGTCATGGGATTCGTTTTCATCATATCAAATGAAGTGTTATAGACAATTTTGTCTAAAATCTCTTCTTTTGTGTTCTTCCCTAGGAATTCCATCACCTTTCTAATTTCACGTTTTCTATCCTGTTGTAGAATAGAATAAAAGAAAACTGTTTAGCTAAGAGACAAATATTGTTGGTGGTGTTGTTAGGTGCCATCGAGTCGGTACCGACCCATAGCAACCTGATGCACAGCAGAATGAAACACTGCCTGATCCTGGGCCAGCCTCACTACTGTTGCCACACTTGAGTCCATTGATGCTGCCACTTGGCTAATCCATTTTGTTCGGGGTCTTCCTCTTTTTCTCTGACCCTCCACCTTACCAAACATGATGTCCTTCTCCAGTGACTTGTCCCTCCTGACAATATGTCTGAAATATGAGAGGCGAAGTTTGGCCATCTTGGCCTCCAAGGAGCACTATGGCTGCACTTCTTCCAAAATGGATCTGTTGGTTCTTTTGGCAGCCCATGGCACTTACAATATTCTCCTCCAACACCATAACTCACGACCATCAATTCTTCTATGGTCTTCCTTATTCATTGTCCAACTTTCGCATGCACATGAGGTTATTGAAAATACCATGGCTTGGGTCAGGTGTACCTTAGTCCTCAAGCTGATACCTTTGCTCTTCATCACTTTAAAAAGGTCTTGTGCAGCAGATTTGCCTAATGCAGTATGTGGTTTGATTTCTTGACTGCTGCTTCCTTGAGTGTTGATCGTTGGTCCAAGAAGAACGAAATTCTTGACAACTTTAATATTTTTCCCATTGATAAGAACGTTGTTTATTGGTCCAGTGGTGAGGATTTTTGTGTTCTTGATATTGACATGTAATCCATATCAAAGGCTGTGCTTTTTGATCTTCATCAGTAAATGTTTTAAGTCTTCTTCACTTTCAGCAAGCAAAGTTGTATCATCTGCATATTGCAGGTTGTTAATGAGTCTTCATCCAATCCTGATGGTTCGTTTTTCTTCATAGAACCCAGCTTCTTGTATTATTTGCTCAGCACACAGGTTGAATAAGTATGGTGAAAGAATACAATCTTGTCGCACACCTTTCTTAATTTTAAACCATTCAGTCTTTCCATGTTCTGTTCAAACAACTGCCTCTTGGTCCAGGTGCCGAGTCCTCATGAGCACATTTAAGTGTTCCGGAATACTCCTACTTCACATTGTTGTCCATAGCTTGTCATGATCCGTACAATGAAAGCCTTTGCATAGTCAGTAAAGCACAGTAACATCTTTCTGATATTCTCTGCTTTCAGCCAAGATCCATCAGACATCAGCAGTGTTATCCCTCGTTCCACACAGCCTCTTCTGAATCCAGCTTGAATCTTTGGAAGTTCTCTGTCAATGTAAAATTGTAGCCATTTCTGTATTACTTTTAGCAAAACTTTACTCGCAAGGGATATCAAAGAGATTGTCCGATGATTTCCGCATTCCATTGGGTCACTTTTCTTTGGAATGGGCACAAGTATGGATCTCTTCCAATCAGTCGGCCAGACAGTTGTTTTCCAAATTTCTTGCCATAGATGAGTGAGGGCCTCCTGTGCCACCTAACTTTCTTGAAATATTTCAATTGTTATTCTTTGCCAATTCCTTCAATGCACCTTGGACTTCCTTCTTCAGTATCACTGGCTCTTGATCATATGCTACCTCTTGAAACAGTTGAACATCAACCATTTCCTTTTGGTACAGTGACTTTGTGTATTCCTTCCATCCTCTCTTTTTTTATTTTTTTTATTTAAGGTTTTTATTGTGGATTGAGTGAAAGTTTACAGGGCACATCATCAGTTTCACATTCAACAATTCATATAACTTGTTTCATTACATTGATT